TCTTTCGATTCGTTTGATCATTTGAATTATAATTTTTCTCACAATTTTATCGATTTTATAAATCACTTTTCGACGTAGATGGCTATTATTTGTTGGTTGTTGTTTAAATATTCTGGAACTATTCGCTTTCTGACTTCAGCTCATCGAATCTGATGGTACACTTCCTTTGAGAGACTATTCGGCACTGGCTTTGAGGTTTGTATTCGAAGCACGATTGCATTTTCGTTGATTTCATTTTGCACTGTTGAAGAGGTGATATTTACAAGATAAATGAATGCTACTCACGAGAAATGTCTTTCCAATAAATGTTCACTGTTCATTTTTCGTTTATAACTGCTGATTGCCGTCACGAAACTGTAGCTGAATTAATCATTTGTTTCAGATGTTACGTTCAGTTTTTGTATTCGTCATCGATCGAGTGGACGTCTGAAGAAACGTCTGATCTGTTGAAACTGGCCACTGCTTATGGTCCCGTCGAGCTGATATCACTTTGTCAACCTCAGCAAACATTCACATCTACTGATGCTGCTAATCTAGGAAATTCGGCAAATCGGCACTCAAACTCGAATGATTGTTCAGGTCAAAATCAGGCAGTCATGAAAGCAGATAAATGTGAAGCTGACACAGACGAGTGTTTGAGTTCAAAAACATTCGAAGTAAATTGTCCATCTACCAGCTCTGATATTCGATTAGAAAATTCGATTCAGGTTAAAAATATTCCAAAAGAAGATGCTGAATGCTTGAATATTCATGGAGAAGATGCAAACTCAGTTACAAACTCCAACAAAGCCGAGGTGTCTGATTCAGAAATTGGTTCGTTTAATAAAGAAAAAACTGAACAGAAGCAAGAAAATTGCAGTGAGCATATTTTGGAAAATAAATTGAAACGTAGAAGCAAACGAATACTTAATACGACAATGAATAGTTGCATAAAGACCGATGGAGAAGCATCGAATCCGACAGAAGGTGTGGTAAATGAAGGAAACAAAAATGGAATAGATGCAGAAAAGAAGCAAGATTCAGACTCGGATGAATCAATTGTNTGATGACTGGGGAATTGATTCTGGCAAATGGTTGGAAGATTTGCTTGCAGATGCGAGTTCATCGTCGAAGAAAATTGCGGAGGCCGAAGCATCGAGTGCACATAAAGACCCAAATGATAGTGATGATGTCTTTGAGTTTTTGCCTTCTGATGATGACGACGATAATAAAAATTTAAAGGCAGATTCTTCACCCAAACATCTTGTAAATAATCAAATAAAAGAAGCCGTCTCAAGCCAGAAACTGTCATCGTCAAATTCAAATGAAGAAATTCCTCGTCGTTCGGATTCCAATTCGCATGTCTCTGAGGTGATACGCAATACTGAAAGTGCTGACTCAAATCAGAATATCGAAGAGGATTTCTCAAAAATGGCGGCCAATGAATCCTTAAACAGAAGTCTCGTCTACTCACCACTTCCCTTACCGCATGATTCATTCGATGACGCAATTCGATTATCACCTCAGCTAGAAATTCCTTCCAGTCATTCCAATCATCAAACGAAACATCAGCAGTGTACAGAAGAGTTCTCCAAAAATCAAAAGGATCTAAAAATCGGTTTTGGATCTGATCGTAAGCATAAATCTTCGGACTGCTTACTTGAGAAAAATGATGATATGACCAAACGGCATCATGATCAGCAGAAAGATCACCTTGTTGATAGCTTTGATGAATCTTTCTGTTTTGAGTCACCGTCAACACAGCCGACCACGTCCGCATCCCATCTTCCATCAAAGCATCATCGAAACTATTCTTCGCGAATATCTGACGCTCTCTGTTCACCAATCCGTGCGAAATCTCCTTCTCANACCGTTCGGTGTTCCTCTATCACCCATTCAGGCAGTCGTTGATAATGATCACTGCACTAAGAATACCGATCATTCAGAACCATTTTCGAATGCTCTATCGCCCGTGATTGAAACACGAAAGGATTCGATTCCAACCAAGAACGCTGTACAGTATTGTTCAACACCAAATCAACCAACATCTACATCAAGACTTGCACAACGCTTGAAAGAGCTTGGCTCGAATGTAAAAATATTGAAAACATCGAATATAACGCCGTTACCTGAATACGCGAATATGACCGACAAACAGTTGAAGGCATGTGAACGTTTTGTCGTATCATTCGAAAATTTATTTCATTCTCTTTGTATACCACTTTTCTGCAAATTTTCGATGCGTTTTTCCTCTAATATCTCATGAAGTACTGGTTCAGTTGTATTAGTAAAAAATTCATTGTTACTTTACGTTCAGGACGAGCTGGCAAAATACGGTTTACGACCAATGGGTAAGAAACGAGCAATTGCATTGTTGAAGAAGATTTATGATGAACTACATCCAGGTATTACATCACCAATTATGTCTTTATTTGATGATTACTGAAATTTGGTGAAATGAATCAGCTGAAATCGACGTAAGTAACACATCTGATTTGCTCACTAATTTGTGGTGTGCTCTATCAGTTGTAATTCTGCTGGCTTGACAGACAGCCGTAGCTGCCATTAGCTGTAAGCGGCAAATCGATGACAGTTTTTTTTTCATAATTTGTACTGCGAATATAGGCGTAGCTTATATGAACCACAATGTACTTCATGTTCATATACTTTATGGGAAAATTAAAGTGAATTAAATCTGTTTACCCTTATTATAAATTATAGTGATAGACTTGAGTTCGCCAGTGTCGAGCAAACCCAAGAGGTCTATCGTAGCCAAAAAATTACTGGATCGGTTGAATGAGGTACAAGAAAAGCGAACAGATGAAAGGGAAGAAGATGAAGCAAACGAAAGAGATGAAGATTTAGCTGAGAAAACGTTGAATAGAAGTTTGAATGAAGAGGATATTCTTGAAGAATCCTGTATTGACGACGTTTACAACGAAGACGCTCCGCTTCCGAAGGTATTAAGCACAGTTACGGTTGAATTTTAATACGATTGTTTTCTCGTCTTGTTTCGGACATATTTCATCTATTTTATCAATGTTGGATTTAGAAATGCATTCAAATATTCCGCATGGAGCATTTTTTATCATTTCATCGGTGTGAGCAATTTATTCATGCCACCGTCTCATTAAAAAAAATCTTGCAGTATTCGTTGCTGAGGTACTCTCCAGCAGATTGCGTTAGTATGTTATAGATCATTTCATCGAATTTAGGATTTGGATGGAATGCAGATCGCTGTGCTGAATTGGTTACGTCGGAATGATAATGAAGATCTTTACAATGAGGTTCTCGGTCTCAATACCGTATCTTTCGTAAGTAGTTGTACCCTTTTCATTGCTACAGTTTTGATGTCGCCAAACTTCATTGAAACAGCGGTGAAATTTGGAACGAACATATCATTTTTCTTTTTTTGTCATACAACTGTAAATGTGTCTCGAGAGAGAATTTCTCATTATGCTGATTCACATCGTCAGACTTTCATATTCAGCCATGTAAATGCAAACTTCCAGGAAGATTTCTATGGGCGCTTGTCGAAGTGCGATACGGCTGTTGCAAAAATTCCGAGGAAAGCGTTGATGGAGATTCTCGATCGTCTTCACATAACGTTCAGTTTACCGGCAGATGGCTGGAAAAAACGTCGAGAAAGGAAGCAAAAACTGAAATGATAATGGGAATTTAGAATCGAGTTCGAATTGTTTGATTTTGCTGCAAAATAATACAACTTTCAGTCATCTCGAAAATATTTCGAAGTTTGATGTTGACTTTGATCAGTTAAGTGTGATTAACTGGTATTTCATGGAAGTTGTCTTTTTTGAATTGTCTTTCACTGATCTGAATTGATTTGTTTCACTTCATCCTTCAATATCACTTGGTATATTGACTGCAATCTTTCATTCACTCGTTTTTTGCTGATTTTGAGTGTA